AAATTGAGATAAAGTACGAAAAGAAGAGTACTTCTGACTTTAGGGAGATAGGCAAAAACATGTAGGATAGATAGGAAATTCAATTTTAGTATTTTAAGCTATGATTAGTTCTCCATACTGGCAACATTTAGGAAGATACTATTATATATCTTATAGGAAGATACTACTTCAGTGGACAATCCATTCTTTAGTAAAATTATTTCTCACTACTTTTCTTTATTGCAGGTAAATACCTATTTTTCCTATTCATTCATATAATCAAAATTTCACAATACTTTAAAATCTGACCAGAACATTTGGTTTGTGTTTTCACCTCAGTGGGATATAGGAGGTAATTTTTATGACAGATGCATTTATGCATTAGCTTTAGTGATCAATGATTAAAAAGCAAAAACATATTTTGCAGAAAAAAGTATTTGAAACCTCACCAGGGAAAACAATTTGGCTCTCACTTGTAAAGGATAGAAATGTTAACAGTTTGGGGTTAGACTGAGTTCTCTCCAGAGAGGCAGGTTTAATTCACTTCGTTAGAGCACCAGAGTAGAACCTAGGAATAAGCCAGGTGATGTCACCACTGTCTTAGAAAACAAAGCACAGTCCCCTGTAGGTAGGTTTTCCACCCTTTCCATCGCTCCCCCCTCATTCCTTCTTAGGTAATGCTACCTGAATGTAAGTCCTATAAAAGCAATTGAGTGTGATGCCAGAGTAAGTACAAGAAACAGACCTTTTTCAGTGGCTACTCTGTGGGAGTCAAAAGAAACTATTCCAATACATCAAAAGAATGGCTTAGGATTGCTGGAGCCCATCCACAGTATGCAGCAATGCTTTTAAAAGTTATTTGCCAAGAGAGGGCAAAAAGAAAAAACCATTTAAGTCCAACACAGCACGGGTGATCCCAAGAGTGAAGCTAGATTATAGGAAATGGGAAAGCCGTGGCTTCATTAGTTTCACAAAAGATTGCTGAAGAGCCATTTTCCACCAAGGTATTTGGCTTTTTTTTTTTTTTTCCTTTTGCCATAAACACCGGGTGGGTTTCACTGATGGGGAAAACGAAAAACGGTTCCTGGCTTTGGAACAATGGAAATTTTATATTAGAGCGGCCGGCAAAGAAAAGGAAAAGGTCAAAGGGTACATTCCTCTTGCTGCAACATGTTTTCACCAGTTGAACCTCACCCTTGTGATTAGCAGAGCTCAGACAGCTGATAGTTGGCAGTGGGGAAGGAGCAGAAAAAGGAGGGAAGTTTCCAGGGGCGTGTCAAAAGAATATTGCGTGAAATATTTGTAGCAGTTAACTAAAAAAGATCGAACATTCCATGCTCAGCTGCTAGGACCTCCTCTTTTCATTAGTGGGAGGTACTCCTTTCCTCTAGGCTGAACAGGCTCCTTGTTCTCACTTTGGTCTCCATAGCTACTCAGACATTTATTTCACTTAATGTTATTTACTTTCGTTATTTTTAACCCATCTAGGGAAGAAGTGGACTTCCTAGAAGAGTAAGGAAATGGAAGTGTGAGAGTGGACCACTCCTTTGGAAAATAAATAGGCAAGACTGTATGGCATAAAACTTAGCTCCTTTTTCCTGAAAAAGACCCAAAGAATAAAGATGATGGTACAGATAGTGTTCAACTAGAATCTTTGCGACGATAATGGCAGCATTTCTTGACCTAGGCTTACCCCTGAACAGTTTTCTCGGGTTGCCTTTGGAGAGACAACAGCCACCAATGCTTTACTTTACTTGAAGCGGTAGTCCCAACACGTGCGTACCACACCGCCCCCACCCCCCGCACTACTTCTTTCTCCTAAGCTTTGACTTAGCTATCTTTTTTTAATTCATTTTTAATTTTTATTTATTTATTTATTTATTTATTTATTTATTTATTTATTTATTTATTTTGAGAGAGCGTGCGCATGCGAGCTGCTGTGGGGGTTGGGGTGCGTGGGAGGAGGGGCAGAGGGAGAGAGAGAAAGAGAATCTTAAGTAGGCTTGGCGCTCAGCGCAGAGCCCACACAGGCTTGATCTCATGCAGGGCTTGATCTCACAAACCAGAGATCATGACCTGAGCTGAAATCAAGAGTCAGATGCTTAACCAACTGAGCCACCCAGGAGCCCCTGACTTAGCTATCTTGAAGGTAGCAGAAATGTGATTAAAACCCACCTAACTTACTCATGTTTCTTTTGGCAGCCTCCAGGAATGCCTAAGAGCCTCTCAGAGCTATTTGAGCAAGTCACCTCTAAGAGTGGATAGATGAGAATCAAAATTCTAGGGGTGCCTGGGTGGCTCAGTCGGTTAAGCATCTGACTTTTTTTTTTTTTTTAAAGATTTTATTTTATTTGTTTGACAGAGAGAGAGAGAGACAGCTAGAGAGGAAACACAAGCAGGGGGAGTGGGAGAGGGAGAAGCAGGTTCCTGGCCAAGCAGGGAGCCCGATGCGGAGCTCAATCCCAGGACCCTGGGATCATGACCTGAGCCGAAGGCAGACACTTAACCACTGAGCCACCCAGGCGCCCCAAGCATCTGACTCTTGATTTTGGCTCAGACCATGATCTCAGGGTCCTGAGATGGAGCCCCACGTAGGGCTTTGCACTAGGTGTGGAGCCTGCTTCTGATTCTCTCTCTTCCTCTCCCTCTGTCCTTCTCTGCCCCACTCGCACGCACGCATGCACACTCTCTCACTCTCTAAAAACAAACAAACAAACAAACAAACAAGAATCAGAATTCGGAGGGCAGGGTAATTACAACCTATATGAGGTTGATTTCAGAAGAAAACTTTAAAATGGTATTTGAAATGGAAACATACAATAAACATACATATGCCATGTTTCTCAAGGTGATTATATTTGTTTTATGTTAAAATAAAAATATAATGACATACAAAGTTTAGATCAAGAGATCAATGTGAAATCTGTGCATGTGATTTTAGTGTTTTCATGGCTGGCAGAAATTTCTTCTTGTTTCTGCTTATGAATTTAACTACTTTTTTCCACTTTTGGTAGAAAGATGATGCATATAAGGTTCTGTATTCAATCCTTCTTATTATCTATTACTACTTTACTCAATCTTATTTTCCATTTATTCTTTAAAACAAACCCTCTTCCCCACCCTACTTTCACCATAAGATCTTTGTGTTTCTGTTCAGTTGTTCAATAAGTAACTGAATAAATAACTCTATCCTACCATCAGGAATATCTTCTCCAGTTTCTCTATTCTCTTCCCTATTTCATATCCCATATTCCAACATTCAGTTTAACTCCTATCAAGTAAAAAGCTCTCTGATCCTACCTCAGTCTATTCTGACCTTCTCAGCTCTAAATTTCTATATCACTTACACATTTATACCTCACAATCCACCATTTTATTTAACACTACCTTATATTATTCTCCAGTTGTTTCATGGACATTTACTTTCCCAAGCTTACAGGATTCCTTTGTATTATTCATAGTGCGTGTGTTTAGTTAGCACTGAATTAGACGTAGGGGCTTGACCTAAAACCCTAAAACTGTTGAAGGCAAATGTCAGGTCTTCCATTATGATTTTCCAATAACAAATTTGTCATCATTCTCAATATTTATGAACTTCTATGAGGGTCTTGGGCACTGAATTTCAGGTAGAATAATTACCAACATATGTACAACTCTGTAGAACGTCTATTCTTTATCAGTAGGTTTTATCTTCCAAATCAATTTAGGAGTTAATCCACCCACTTTTAAGGAACAGAAGAGTTCCTACTGTTTTCCATAACCATCCAGTGAATAATACCAAGAATATCTCTACATTTGATTGAAACACAAAAGTTAGGTAGGCAGATGTAACTACTGAAGCTGGAGTTTGGCCAGGAAACTTGGAAGAACCCTCCCAATCCCACCACAGATTCCATAGGTAACCACAACTGGTCAGAATCTCCCATTTCCATGTACCATCTTAAACACAGTCCCTCTTTTAGGCCCATGCCTCTAGTAAAATAAGGCCACTCTAGCAGTAAGATTCAGAGGGGGAAAAGTTACATCCAGGGGGTTCCTAAAGAACAATGTATATTTTCTGTTTATTTATTTATTTATTTTTTACAAACTTATGAAGTCTACAGGAAATACCCAAAGCAAGTACCACAATGCTTCCATCAGGAAATGCATCCTGTTTTGCTAAATTGGAAGAATGACCTTTAGTTATATAGCCAGGTACTCATTCTTTTTAATATTAACCAACACTACGGAAGAATTTAACTTTTCTTTGGGAAATGTGGAATGGTATGGTGTTTATATGTGTATGTCTTAGGCAGAATGAGGAGTCAAGAATTAACTCTACCCCTTACCTCATTTTTCATAAGACCATTTTTCTGAGTCCTTTGGATTGTTTTAGGCTCTTTTATACACATGTATGTCAGAAAAACATTTTCTTAGGTCTCCCTCACTGATCATATAAGCAGAGGTAATGATAAAATCTGAATTTGACTTTCTGGTATATTATAACCCTCAAATCCATGTTTCTTCCCCAGATGCAATAGAAGCAATTAAAACATATTTAGATATCTAATAAGTGATTAAAAATTGATAAATATTCATATGTATGAATTACATAGTTAGGCTACAACATTATGTGGGGAAAAAAGATATATCACTAATTCTGAGCTTATTTTGCTGCTCAAGAATAGCAAAGAAGGAGAAAAACCACTTACGTGAGTACTCACTATTATATTTTTTCAAATTCACTTTAGGTTTATTTTTAATCAAATTGATGTCTAGTTTCTCGTTGATTTCCCTAACCCCAAAAAACCTTACTTCCTGACAAGCAGCAATAAAAAAAAACAGGACCAAATTTACTGTTATTGAGTCCTACTTGTTGAGTTCTAAGGTGTTCACATGCTTAGGTGTCCTTAGTAAATGCTTTGGATCTCAGAACATACAGCCTCAGGTTTCCTTACTTCTGACCAGTCCAAAGCCACCCACTGAGGTGGACATGACTGGTTGTTGCAGGGCTCCTTTTCAATAGGCCGGTGTGTTAAACAACCACTGTAGTCCAGTGTCTCCTCCTCAGAAGGTCCAATCTTCCTGATGCAGAGCACTGCCCTGGTGCGCATTCCACCATCACAAGTCTTGCTACACTCCAACCAATCCCCAATGAACCACCTGCAGCAAGAAGTGGAAGAAACACAGAAAGACATTTCCTCAGTGTAGCCAGAGATTTTGAGCTGAGTGAAAGCACTTTCATCAATGGACATTCTCTTCCTAAAAGAGCTGACATTTCAGTGTTGGTTGATGTGACAAATGACCAGTGGAAGAGCTGCTAAGGAAAAGATAACACATTGTCAGCTGTAGTGTGTGGGCTTTGGAGCAGACAGAACTCAGGTCCAAACAAGTAATGCAACATATGTTCTTAACCACATTGATATCTCCCCTTTTCTAAATTAATTTTTAAAATGAAGATAACAATATAAATCATGACACTGTCATGAGGATTAAGTAATAAATATGAAGCTCCCGGTCATGTGCTGGTTAAGTGTTTAACAACTGGATCTTTATGGGAGGGCAAGGGTCTTGATTTGTTGCATTTACCAATTTTGTGATGTGAATACCTATCACCAATTTCAACTTACATCCTTGACATGCTGAACATATCAAGAGAAGATATGCTAATAACAGGATTTCAGGAGCCAGTTAGCTTGCTTTAGGACACCACTGAAAGCTTCTAATTTTGTGTCTGATATTCAACAAACAAGAAACAGTAGCTTTATTTATTATCACATTGAGGCAGGTTCTCCTATAATCAAGGATTTTGTGCTAAAACCACATTAAAGGAGCTAGGGATTTGTTTTTTGATTTTCGGAAATGAATGTCAGGCTCTGCAGAAGATAGAAGGCCTTTACTATGCTTATGGGGCAGAGAGAGCCCAGGCATCCATCCTGAAGATGCAGGAGTCTTTAAACACCTGCACTAAGAGAAAAGTCTGAGCCAGCTCTGTGAAAATATGGAGGTCCCTTGTTTTGATCCCTCTGCTCCCGAAAACAGCTTCTAAGCAGCTAACGTGGGAAGAAACCGAAAACAAAATGAACAAGTTTCACATTTATAGGTGAACCACTCTTTTTCCCTAACGTCATCAATGAATTTTCATATATATGCAGTTTCAGGGTGTGTATATGTATGTGCATGTGGGTATGTATGTGAAACTTCTGCAGAACTCACTCTCTGAAGCACATTATTTGGTCAAAAAGTGTGAATCAAAATCAGACCAATGAGAATTTGGCTTTAAAATTTTTCTATCTCCACTAGAGCAAAAGGGGGCCTTTCCCTTCTTGTCACAAAAGTGCATAAAGATACAAGAGCTGCTGGTGGCCATGTGCCCTGTCAAGTGGAATTAGCTGATGTGAAAGAATGCAGAGAAGCTAGAGAGCCCTGATGGTGTTTGAGTCCTGGGGCCATTCCTTAAATGAGATCCACCTTAAATGAGATCCACCTTAAATGAGATCCACCGTTGCCCTTCGCTCAGCTTTGTTAAGTAAACCAACAAACCCTCTTCTGTGCAGAAAGCAGCTAAAGTCAAAGTTGTGTTATTTCCAACCAGAGTACTGATTGATATATTATTGCATTTAATTTCATAAATATATGCTGAATGCCAACTATATTCAAGGCATTGCACTTGTTTTATAGAAGAGGAAGTAAGATTAGTGTGAGGAAAATGGTTCTCCAAAATCACGACAAGAACAATGTTGTAACTAGGACTAGATCCCCCAGCAGTTACTGTCTCCCCTGAATTTCATTTTTAACTCCGCTAAATAGTAAGATCTAGGTCACAAGCATGAGGTCACAAGTCATTTTCTCCAATCCGTGATTATAAATTATGCAACTATCCTCAGTGGATATGCTCATACTCTTAGGTAAGAGACTCTCCAGACAGAAGAGTATGAAAGCTTAAGAACAAATTTCTCTAGTTAATTGTGCCAGTTTTATATGTGAGAGATAACATCACAGTGAAGTCAGAATCCTAGGTTCCGCATTTGAGCCTGTAGTTAGCCAAATAGGCAACAACCGCCTTTGTTCACTATTATTTGTATTATCTTTAGTTATAGACGGAAATCAGCTTTTAGAAATACTGTAATTAACCAATTTCTCAAACTTAGAATACATCTTTCCAAAACTTAAAAATTTTCAACCTAAAATTCACTTAAAGAATGATAATTTAATCCTGAGAATCTGATATTAATTTTTTTTCCTAAGTCATTTTCCAGAGGAGATTTAAAGTGATATTCATATTCTTTCCATTTTGTTTTCCACAGATGAACATGATCCCAAGTTGTTAGTACCATTTTTGGTAAAGAGGAAAATGTGTACTGAGAATAATAACTTGCATGCCAGCCATAGTGAAACTCTGATTCAATTCGCAACAGTGATTTCATCACCAAGATTAGGGGATAAAACAGAAATGTGTAGAACTCAGCCACAAAAAGTCCAGTCATACCACATCCAGCCATGATCTCATTAGGCCTCATAATGTAAGAGGGATGGAGGCCTTCAAATTAAACACAGGTGCCCAGAGTAACAGCAGTGATTCAGGAGGTGTTGCTGTTTTTTGCTGCACGAGGTTAGGTCCACCTCCGCCTTTTTATTCTTTGTCCTCTCCTTTATTGCCAACCATCTCTTAGTCTAGATGTATCAGTCTAGCATTTAATTTGGAATGTATGAAAGTAGAAGTATTAACCACCCTCCCAATTTCCATTCTGACTTGAACTCTGATTTCAGTCCCTATTCCATCTTTATTGCTCACCAAATCATCCCTTCCCATGTCTCTCTAAAGGATTAAATCACACCAGAGTTATTTAAATAGTTTTGCAATTTTGCCACTGCATCTACTCATCGCATTTTCTCTATTCCTCTGTCCAGTTTAAGACATACAACTTCCTTCACCTTCACTCTTCCCATTGTATTTGACCATCTGATGACCTTCTTCCTATTTACTCTAGATTTGGTGGTAAGAATATGAACACGAAAATTCTCTCTGGAAATATCAATGTCTGAATTGTTACAGTCTGAACAATACTAGGAATGCTTCTTTCTGAGCTCTTCCCCAGTGATCAAATTGTCTTCATCCTCACAAGTGTCTTCATATCCGTTAGACATTAACAACTAGTGGAATTCATGTTTGAGTGTCTGAAGTAAGAGTGGTGTGTGCAGACTGTGTAATCTTGACCCATAGTGTCTGTACATTAATAGGACAAACAAGAATATTATTGGGGGCAAGGAACAAGGGAGACATTATAAAATATTTTCCCCAAACCTAGGTTAACCAGAATATGTTTGAAGAAAGAACCGAGCATAAAAGCGGGATATTATTTTTGCTTTTTAACTTAAAGGGAAATGGCAGAACATATGAAAATAAACTGATATTAGATGTTTGGATTAAAAAAGAGAGCTAGATTTCCCAGCCTTTGTCCTAGTGTCAAGCATCTAATTATCAATAAATGCAACATAGCAAAAAAAATTTTTTTTTTAAGATTTTATTTATTTATTCAGGAGAGA